CAAACCCTCCATTAGGATCTCGTGCTGCTGACATGCCATACAACGGGCAAATCCAAGGCTCTGGTGAAGATATCCTTTCCGGGGAATATATCCTTTCTGGGGAATATATCCTTTCTGGGGAATATATCCTTTCCGAGATTTCATAGAACAGAATAGTATGGGTTGGAAGGGACCTTAAAGATCACCTGGTTCCAATCCCCCCGTGCCATCAGCAGGGACACCTTCCATCAGACCAGGGTGCTCAAAGCCCCATCCAACCTGGCCTTCAACACTGCCAGGGAGGGGGCATCCCCAGCTTCTCTGGGTAACCTGGGCCAGTGCCTCACCACCCTCATAGCAGAGAATTTCTTTCTTACATCTCATCTACATCTACCCTCTTTTAGTTTAAAGCCAGTACTTCTCGCCATATCACTACGCGCCCTTGTGAAAGCCCCTTTCCAGCTTTCTTGTAGGTCCCCTTTAGGAAAGGCCACAATAAGGTGTCCCTGGAGCCTTTTCTCCAGACACCCCCATGGCTCTCAGCCTTTCCTCGATGGAGAGATGTTCCATCCCCCTGATCATTTTTGTGACCCTCCTCTGGATTTGCTCCACCAATTTTTGGTGGATTTTGTTTTGGGGTGCAGTGGGGTTTTTTTGCATTTTTAGCAAACTTGCAAACTGAGAATCATAGTGCAAGAAATATATGTTTGGTAAGACAAAAGAAAGTCTGACATACCAACAGTTTCCTAATAATTGGCATTTTCTGGCAGGTCCACAATGCAGAACCGACCTAGCAGGTGGCCTGGGTGCTTACCAAGGGCGCACACAGCTTACACCAAATCCTCTGGATGCCGTTACCGCAAACCTAACCATGCCAAGTTATCACAACCACACGTTAAAAAGAACATTTCTCTGCTAAGACATAGGTAAAGTTCTGGCCAATTGCTAACCTCACTGCTTGCAATCGTACGGGCCTCTCCTCTTCAAGCCCAATCACTGTATTTCAATACAATCTAGCACGAAAAAGCCAGAGATACAGAACCTTTAATGAGCTTAGGCAAAACTCAAAGGCCCACAAAGGGCTAAATCAAAAGCTGCTACCACCAACTCTATTCTTTGTGCGCTCAAGCAAGACTAATTAACGCTTTTAATGTCAGTTTACCCCTTTGGGCACTATAAATCAGAGCACGCAGCTTTTCTGAGTTAACAAAAGAATCTGTGAAAGGTGTCGCTTAATAACCAAACTCACAAATTCAGCTGCACTTAATCAGAAACAGGTATATTTAGCAGCACTGTGCTCCACGAGCAGGATTATCCACAGGCTGTACGCAGAGAACATGCATTTATCAATACAAACAAGGCTGGCACACTGGGAAGAGGTGGTGAATTATACATCTGAGAGAAAGGCCACGGCTTCCAGCATGAGCTCTGTGAGAGCAGAAACACGGAGCAAACGCTGCGGGAAGGCGCTACAGGAAGGCGTAGGGAACATATTGGATGTTTCCCTGTAATCTCATCTCCAACACAGACACCGCAACGACTGAGTGCGCTGCTCCACCTCTTCAGCATCCTGGCTTGGATCAGGAATGGTGTGGCCAGCAGGAGCAGGGAGGGGATCGTGCCCCTGGACTTGGCACTGGTGAGGCTGCACCTCGAGTGCTGTGTTCAGTTTTGGGCCCCTCACTACAACAAGGACATTGAGGGGCTGGAGCGTGTCCAGAGAAGGGCAGCGAGGCTGGGGAGGGGTCTGGAGAACAAGTCTGATGGGGAGCGGCTGAGGGAGCTGGGGCTGTTGAGTCTGGAGAAGAGGAGGCTGAGGGGAGACCTTCTCGCTCTCTACAACTCCCTGACAGGAGGGGGCCGTGAGGGGTGGGTTGGTCTCCTCTCCCAACTCGCTCTCTACAACTCCCTGACAGGAGGGTGCAGTGAGGGGTGGGTTGGTCTCTTCTCCCAAGTAACCAGTGACAGGACAAGAGGCAATGGCCTCAAGCTGCATCAGGGTTTAGGTTGGATATTGGGAAAAATTTCTTCACTGAAAGAGTTGTGAGGTGTTGGAATAGGCTGCTCAGGGAAGTGGTGGAGTCCCCATCCCTGGAGGGGTTCAAAAACTGTGTGGATGTGGCCCTTGGGGACATGGTTGAGCAGGCATGGTGGGGTTGGGTTGGCGGTTGGACTTTATGATCTTAGAGGTCTTTTCCACCCTTAATGGTTCTATGATTCCCAGCTGAGCAGACAGACAAGAAGTATTTTGGTGCACTCTCCACACGCCACAGGGCAATACCTGCCGCACGCTTTAATACACACATCAACCCATAAACCAAAAGTAGAAAGTCAGTCCAGAGCATCTGGAAAAGTCTGGTGTCAGAGATCATCTCTGCTGCTTACGTCCACAAATCTTCTTAAAACCTTACTTTGATTTTAAATCAGTTTTTGACAGTTGATTTTTTCCCTTGTTATGTGAAATGTCATCTTCCTAATGACATCTCATTCCTTACTCCTCTAACAATCACTGTATACCAGTATTGAGCCACAAAGAATCACGAAGCCGCTTTGTCAATAAAATAATTCCTCTATGCCCCAAACTAATCACATGGGATGTTGGAGCTGATGTTCATATATAAATATCTCAAGGGTGGGTGTCAGGAGGACGGGGCCAGACTCTTTCCAGTGGTGCCCAGCGACAGGACAAGGGGCAACGGGCACAAACTGAAGCAGAGGAAGTTCCAGCTGAACATGAGGAAGAACTTCTTCCCTCTGAGGGTGATGGAGCACAGTGATTAACTGTTTAATTGCTGTAATTCCACTTTGGATTTGGGGGAGTGGGGTACTTCCCGAGCAGGAATTAACCTAACCTGGATAAACCAAGCTAAGAGGTCGGGCAAACACACACTGAAGAGTTTAACTCAATTTTTTCCACCTTTTGATTTCCGAATGCTGTTTACCATCACAAATCTAAAAGGGGGAGGTTCAACCCAGGATAAAGAAACACGAAAAGTAAATGCCTGAGGTCGCTGGTGGAGACCCCAAGCAGGGCAGACACAGCCTGGCGAGCAGCTCCGACTGGCTTGAAGAGGACAAGGGGCAGCTGCTCTGCCAAACCTCTCCAGGCTCCACCAGCTCCGCTCTCGAGATCTCCAAGAACCACACACCCAACGCGTAAATTGAAGTTTCTTCATCTGGAGCTGAGCTGGACCAGGAGCCCCTTGGACCAGAAGCTCCCTTTCTCATGCAAAGCCAACACTTCACAACGCGTTCTCATCTGGAGAAACCTCTTGTCTTCTAGATCTCACCAGTGCCAGTCCCACTTCTCCAGTCTGAGCGACTCAGCGCCCACCTCTGTTTTCTCCCCATTTCACAGGCCACCAAATGCGCACCCTTGGCTTTGCCTCTCGCCTTTGCCTCTGTTTCTCCAGCCCAGAAAAAGCAGCACAGCCCCAACTGTGTCCATTACTTCAACTTGGAGATATGGGGGGGGCAATGGCCAGAAAAACCGGACAGCAGCAGCATAAAGGTCCTTTCAATTTTTCCTTTATCCATTCTTTTCTAGCACGATATTCAGCAAAAAGGGGAAGGAGACGGAAAGGGCCCTGGCATCATTGCGTCAAGACTGGCACAAGCAAGGAGGAAGCAAAGCTC